CTCATTAGTATGAATGCCTTTATGAGTAAGACCTTTTTCAAGAAGTTGTTCCAACCAGTAAGCAAATTGGAGATACCACATACCTAAAACTTGCACATAAGGTTCTGTACAAGGAGTGACAGAATAGGAAAAAGATATTTTTAACCATGAAGTAAACATCTCCAGATCTTGATCGAATCCAAAGATGCAACAAACTGTCTGAAATCTAGCCTGTTATGATTCAGATCTTTCACCTTTGTGGATTTTACTTCATTGTCAGTCCAAATTTAACCTTTCTCCTTTTAAAGCCAAAATGTCAACAGCAGGATGAGTGACAAATTAAGGGGAAGCCAGAAACATCAAATCCCTTAATAAGGGAATCTGACAGCTGTTATGTGGTGTGAGACATTTTGCTGGCATGTTTTGTAGCCACTTGTCATTTTGGAGGGATGGGTTACTGCAAATCAATGCAAACAAGTTCTGACTGATTGAAAAAAAATATTCTGGTATGTTGGTTTCTTTAGGCATGTTTCAACAACAGAAACTTTTACCAAGAACCAGTGAAGTTCTTTTATTTAAATTACCCTTTCAAGTTCCAGTGTATTTACTGGCTTGTAGCCAGAAAAGGGCACTTGAGGGAAGGTAGTACTTTTTTATTTAATTGGAGCTTTTGGGATCTCATGAGTAAAACACATTTCTGGAAAATTACTGTTCACACATAAAGGTCCAGTTAGTGAGAAATATTTTACTGAGTATAGAAAGGGTATGTTCAGAACATGATTCCTTATCATATTCTAACTAAATCCATTTGGTGTTTTATTAACGTCCCATGAGAGCCCTGATAGTCAAATAATATTTATTTCAGTTGTTCAGAAAGTGAGTCGCTCTGACATCAGGTGGAGACTGTTCAAGCATTTAGCATGCCGAGGTGACTGGACCATAGTTATTGCTGACAGAGTGCCTGCATGGGATTGAGTGATGGTATTATTAAGTCAATACTATAACATTTGAGTGTCATGTGGGTCAATTTTGTTGTATGTATACAGAACATATGTGTTTTATACATTTTATGTTATGGTGACAACATGACTACAGTTAAATTTAGATAGTTAAACACATTGAGAGTGATAGTCCACATTTCAAGGATATCGGGAATCACACTGTGAAGACAGTGCAGAATATATGGAAACAGAGGTTCAGTCCACTTTACGATATAATTGGATCTCTTTACTCCGTAGTATTTATGTAGTCATAACTTTAACCTCTTCGACTGTAAGAATAGATCAGCGAGTCACTATGTTCAAGACAGAAATTTAAGCAAAATAATCAGTCAACTTATTTATTGAAGAATTGATGAGATACTTCAATGAAGCAAAAGGGAAAAACAAAACAGAAACAAAGATAAAAGCTTTAGCTGTATGTCTGGAATATAAACATTTCAAAAGACGTATACTATATGTTGGTTTCTTGTTCCATTCATTTTCTTTTATTATAAGCATCGCAAAACTGTATTTTTTTTTCTATTTTTTATACTAAAACAATAAACCCTGGATGATTGGTTGACTGGATAGATAGATATTTATTTTCATATGTTTGTTTTTTAAGAATGATTTATGCTACGTGCAGAGATCAAACTTCCCTCTCTGCTGTTTTCAGAGGAAGAAATGTGTTGCATGTCAACAGCTAAATGAGAGGATTACCATGTCATTATACTGGTTTGAGTCAGCAACACTGCGCTTCATGATGCCATTGCTGCAAAACAAAATCTTCTTATCCCCTGAAGGAAAATAAAGCTAATATCCTATATTTAGGTGAGCATTAAGGCCCATTACCCAACAGATGGGGTGCTTAATTCGAAGAACTCTTCTTTTGTTGGGTGAAACAGTTTTCTTTACCCCTTTTTTTTCTTCTTCTTTTACACTCACTGCATCTGATCAGATCATGGAAGCATTATGACCTAACCTGTCACATAAATGTTGCTGTGATTATCACAAATGCCCAACAACAAATTGGGTTTGAAAAAAACAACAAAAAACCCATGAAGATTAGGGAGATTATTTACCATATTTAGCCAGATCCAGTTGTATCAACACCAGATAAATCTGCAGTTTGCAGCTGAAATCTCAGTCATGAAAACATTATTTTTGGTCGTTTTTTAAAATAAAGTTTTACAACTTAGCAGAAAACACATTTATATTCTATGAAAGAGTTGCAAAGTCTCCTGCATTATAATTGAACAGTGAGGTAAGAGTGACTCACTACTGCAGCAGAACATTTTAATCTACAATTTAACCTTTATGCTACTTCTCTGATGATAATTTAGGCATCTGGAATATTTAGAAGCTTGCTTTCAATTTTTTTTTTTTTTTGGTTTTAAATATCATGTTCTGCGACATTTGATTTCTAAAGCATTTTTTGTCTTGAATGAAGGAAAAGTGTGTGAGTTGTGGGAGCCAAAACAGGACCCATGTATTCTTTGTAATTGATGTTGAGCTCCACTGATTGATTCGATACTACCATCTAATAATCTTGTTTTTATCAACCATTATGTGAAGCCTGTAATGGACAGAGGAACAGTTTTGTTGCTGTTCAATAATAACTCAATTGTTTAATTTAAAAGCTAAGAATTGGTGTTTTTACACACAAAAAGGACATAAATGTTTTTAAGAAGATAGCTGGAGACTCAGCATGTGTTAAATTAATGTGGATCTGCTCAGCACAGATAGTAACATTTTTGGTCTCATCATTTGATAATGTGCAGAATGTTTCCATATTTATTAAACTCTTGTCTGCTGAGTGATTTGCCTTATGTGGTGCAGTCCAAGAATTACAAATTGGCAAGTTTAATTTGGTCCATTTTCCCAATTCAGCCATTTATTTTTTTTTAAAGAATATCATTTTTTTAAAGAATATCATTTTAGATTCACCGACATACACAAAAAGATTTTTAAAAAAACCAGTGTGATAGCAGCTTTGGGAGATTTATTTAGAAAACAGAAAGTCTTGTGCTATAGCAACCGTGTTACAGATAAGTAACACGGTTTTGGCAAAACAAATACTCTTGTTGCATTCAGGAACGTAGGCATGTCTTGGAGTTTGCATGAGAGACTAAAACCACTAAAACCACTGTACATGTGAACATATTCTCCCTGAGAGTATGTGTGGAGGAAAGTTTGCTGTATGATATATTCCATAAAACTGAGCTGCAGTGAAGTGTTTCTTCATTGTGTTATTGCATATATTAAACATAAATCAAACTTGCTGTGTTCATTAACTTTCTCTTCCACAATATTACCTCTTATGTCTTTGAGAATATAAGTTTGGTCTTTATTGCGGCTGCTGTGACCCACACCATCTTCACTTGTGAAGTTGATGAAGTGAGGCTTTAAAGCCTAATGCCTTGGTGCGCTCTATGTAAATTGCAGTGAATGCGTGTCAGCTAAATGCCTCCAATGTAAAATGAGATTGGATAGAAAACAGCTAATAGAGCTGCGCCTGTGATTAGCCTCGGAGCTGCTGCAGCGAGCTGTGGTGCTGGTTTGTATCAGCAGGGTCCCGCTGGCTCTGTTTGCCTGCTGACATGATAGTGTTTCCTACAGGAAATACCCTAATTAATTGTTGTCATTATGTGTGTTTTTTTTCCTACCTGCAGTCAGTTCTCATTTCCTGTCACCATTCACATCACATCTCTGCTCTATTTTCATTTCTTAGACCACCATCTATTTTTGTTTTTAATTTCTAACTGTCTCTGCATGATTGTGAAACTTAACTTGTTCCTCTGGATCTCTTCTTTGAATTTGTATTTTCCTCCGCTATTCATCTCTTTTATTCCTCCTTTGAAATGATTAAAATTCTTGCAGTGGATGTTGGGAAACATGAGGTGTATTTTGGAGGCAAAGCTGTTTGGAACTTCAACAAAATCAGTGCCTGGTGGCTCCCACAGATGAAAAAGAGTGTAATTTCTTTTCATCACTGTTGAGACATTCAATGGACTCAGATGGAAAATGATTGAAGATATTTTCTACATTTCCTCTGTCTTGCTGCAGTTTGTTTAAACTGAACACTTGAAGTAAATATCTAGTTCTCTAGTGTTGTAGATTTACTCTTGTGATTTTGCATCTTTCATCCTTTTTACATTTGATTAAGTGGAAAGATTAGAGATTTTATATTTGTATAGTTTTGTCATTTTTTTTGCTGCAGAAAAGAGGCAGCAATGTTTGACTTGCTCTTTGATAAATTCGTTCAATAATGACTTCTGTCTGACAAAAATAATTTTACTTTAGCCCAGAATTTGAAAGTTGTTTTTGTGGCATCATAAGAATAATTAATAAGAACCAAAAGGAAATTGCCTGCATTATGAAGTGGCTGTCTTTTTCTACAGAGAGAACAGCTATACTTTGACAAATTGCACCATGAGGAACATTACCTGGAAATTTTGAAGCAACATCTTAATACATCAATTGGGAAATTAATGCTTAGGCACAACTAGGTCCTCCAAATGACCCTAAGCATTATGTCAGCTTAGTTTTACATTTCCTCTGTCTAAGAAGAATATAGTAGACATTTTGGAGTTACCATCACAAAGTCCAGATCTCAGCCTCAATAAAATGGGCTGAAGAAAATGATCAAATAAATTTTTGGTCCTGGTACTTAGCACAGAGAAATTATAAAACTAAAAACCTTCATCTGGCTTAATGTCAGATGGAGAAGAAATGTTATGTATTTTTTTGTGCAAACGAACAACTATCAACTGTGTGTTTTCCATTTTGACAATTTACCATTCTTATTTTTACCATTTTATCACCATCATCTGACATTTAACTTATTTATGTGAGTCAAGCATGTGTGAAGTTTTCAACCGGATTCCAAGCAGCAAATTTTGTACCATCCTTGTTAATAACCGACTCTGTAAAATAAAGTGGGTGACATCACTGCTTAAATAATACGTGACATGCCACAGTGCTAGCATATATGATATATATGAGTAATCAGTAGTAATGGCGCTTCCATTTGTCTTGAAGGTGGCGGTACAGGCAGCCAGCAGACCATTCTCCATGAGGAGCAGTGGAAGATGCCGGCTCTGCCAGCACTGCTGCTGTCGATTTATGTTGTTGTCCTGCTGCTGACTATGGCACCTCTCTTCTTCAGCCAGGCCAACACCCTATCTGCCGTCCGGATGGGTGAGTACAGCAACAAATGTTTGGTTTCAATAATGTCTTTATTCAAGAGGAAATTTTGAACAAAACTCTCTTCACCGCTAATTATTCAATCACAATTTTACATAAACATCATAAATTTACTGATCACTCTTCATTGAGATGCATGCTGGGGAATTCTTACTTTTTGTTTAAAGAAAGAAATTATAGTTTACAGTTTGAAAAAGATTTATTGTTTTTGATTTTGATTGAAAAGGTGGGATTGAATAGTAAGGTGTACTAGCAGTTAATAGGAGATTTCAGATGGAGGTGGTTAAACACTGTCTGGAGGATGCATTGTTTTATGATCCAGCTAAACATGAGGAAAGATGTGGTATTAAAATGGGTCATTCATATTTTGTTGCTTGAATATGTGACAACCAGCATCATTGCATGTCTCTACATTAACAATGGGCACTGTCTATACCTGTTAAAAGAGTATTCTTCTGGGGGTACTGTGTAATACTGGTCTTGTGTGTTTGTGTCGGTGGTGCAATGCTTTACATGATGGTATCTCTTCTGGTAATTCATTTGAGAGGTCTGCACTGGTAAAATTACCAAGGACAAAAGTGAAACCATCTGGGTATTTTTATCCATGTCTGTCGTCAGCTTAGCTGGCTGTTGTTCATCTTTTGATGTGTAGGCATGTGGTGGTTTCCAGGACATGAAAGTACAGGTAAACACCAGCCACAACAGCTGAGAACCCTCTGTGAATAAAAGGGTTTAGAGATTATTCAAAATGACTACAGGTTAGGGTTAAATGTCTCCTGTAACACTCCTGCATGAGAATATACAGGAAAAAAAAAAGCTGATGTAAGGGCTGCACAGTGGCGCATTAGGTAGCACTGTTGCTTTGCAGCAAGAAGGTCCATGTCTGCATGGAGTTTTTACGTTCTCCCTGTGCATCCATGGGTTCTTTCCAGGTACTCCTGCTTCCTCCCACAGCCCAAAAACATAACTGTCTCTCTAAATTGACTGAGCAATTAAGATAGAGATGAATTGGTCTCTCTAAATTCTCCCTAGGTGTGAGTGTGTGTGCATGATTGTTTGTCCTGTCTGTACACCTATCCAGAGTGAACCCCACCTCTCATCTGAAGCGTTCACTGGAGATTGACACACCCTTATCCCTAGTGGGGTCAGGAGGGGTGCTAGAAAATAAAGTGATTCAGATTCTGGGTGCATTCTCAGTCTCAAGTCATTTTTAAACATTTGCATTAGATTTAATTCCAGGTCATCTTCTATTAAAAAAAGCACAGAATTGGCTGAGTGGTGGGAAATGATGGCATGTTCTGATCGGGGAAAAGGGACACTCTGCAGTTATTGTAGATCTAAATTGGGGGAAAACAGATTTCAGATTGCCTGGCAGAGCATATGTATGTCAGATTACTGAATTCGTTGAGGGACTATTCATTAGGATTATTTGATTACCAAAAGGTTTGATAGCTGCTGTTTTGTTTTTTCTTATCTTTTTAAATGGATTTTGCTGATAAAAATATGCATGTCCTCTGGATCACCTCTGAATATTCTACCCTCTTCTACTCATTACACTTGTTCTGTTTTGCCACTGGTGTATCCCTCCCATTTTGATTCCTCTCACACAAACACGGCTTTGTTTCTGTATTTAAAAATCCCTCATGGCCTCCCTTTGGCTTCTTCACTCTCTAGATTAGTGCTTCTTTTATTGCTCTCTTCATATTTTGTTTTCAGTCCGTGTTGGATCATTTGCAAGAGGAAATAAACTCCAGCAGAACCAAATATGGTGACATCCCCTCACCGTTCCAGGACCAGAGTGGATCTCTGGGGTCATGACCTTTTATTTTTCATCCTCACATCATCCAAGGGTAGAAGGTTAACGCTCATAAAAGCAGAGCCTTAATATTGACTTTAAACGTACAGCATTCTTGCGCTCCGATAAGATCTTTTACCTGTTCTAATCCCAACCTTGTAACCTCATGTTCAAATCCCTTTTACTTTTAACTGGAAGAGCTTTACAAAGACTGTCATGCACTTACATACATGCTGCCATGGCAATCGGGTCACGCAGTGGTTTGTCACGGCTCACCTTTTGCTCTTCCTTTAATACAAGCTGAGTGCTAAACACTCACTCGGCTTCAGCTGACACATTATGCGTTTGGTACATAACACATAATGTTATATACCAGAAAATTCCTCTTTCTGGGAATTTCAGGCATCTTCAGATGAGCTTCAGAAAATGAAGTGGAAACCAAAAGCTAATATTCACAGATAGTATTACAGAGAAGTTGGATTTCAGTGCCAATCAACGTAACCTGGTGAAAATGTGGCCTTATTTAATCACGCACCAAATATAATCACCACATTTCTTTACTTTTTTATTTTTTTGGACAACACAAGCAGCTCTGCATAATCCAGCAATTGGTTAAACAGAATGTGGGTCTGATCTGAACAATCTCAAGAACAGATGAGAATGTTAAAACATTTTTAGTTTGAAGGAAATAAAATGCCACAAAATATATAAAGTTGAATAAATCTTTGAAGGAATAAATGTTTTTCACAGCATTACATCTGTGTAGACTTTGTCATAATTGTGTAATCTGATAGAGTTTAATTTACCTCAGTTCATTGTCTCTCTATAATCTTGTCTTTGTATTTGTCTGCAATTTTACTTTCAGAAGTAAAATTGCTTTATATTATGAAGCAATAACAACAGTGACTAGACTTAAAATAAGAGTAAGAGCCTCACATATGCAGGATATGATGCAGTGTTCATTTCAGTGGGCAGTTAGAGGAATCTGATCTATAGCAGATTGCATATAGCTGCACATTAATTAAACAAGATCTTTGAGTTTTTCACTCTCAAAACTAAATAAATAATTTTGGCAGAGTTTATGTATTGCTTCTTTGTTTCCAATGCATTTCTCTCATCAGGTGTAGAAAATTTTACTTTTCTTGTACTCCAATGCTCTGAGCTTTGAGCAAAATTTCAAGGTTAATTACTCAGTGGGTGGAAAATCAAAAAAAGGCTGTGTCAAAGTGTTTCAATAATTGAAGGACTCCTGTTGTGGTTTATGCTGGAAGCCAGATGTAGCTGATGTTGTGACAGGTAACCAAACATCAAGCAGAAACAAGGAGATATATTTATATTCACAAGACCTTCTTGGTTGATAGGTAATGGTTTTGTTAACAAAAGTAGCAGTAGGCACATGTTTATTATTTTCAGATTTTCAGATCTAATAAGAATCCAGACTTTTCTGTTTTTTTTCTGTTCTGTCTCTCTCTGTAATTGTTTAAAGTGGTCTAGATCAATTGTTCTCTTTGGTGTCTGACAGAGTTTCAGAGGGTATTTTTGGAGACCTTTGTACTTTTCAGTCCAGTAGTTGACTATTGGAAGAGGATGTTTGTGTGTTAAGATTCTTAGCACTAATCTATGAATCACTCAAGCACAAAAGGATTCAGTGAATTGCAACAGAAAAGACGGACTGTTGTCAGCACACAGCACATAACTTCACTATAAAACAATTTTAGCATTGCACTTTCCCTTTTATAGGAATTCATAAAAAATATATACCGTAAATAAAACTGCAAAAAAGTGATTCTCAAATTTGTCGTGTTTTTTGTAACATTTAGGAATTGACATTTTGATTATTACGACATATAAAAACTGACAGAACAGAGGTGAATAGATCGTCATTTGATTTAAAATCTGTCAAGGCTTCGGCAAGATACTAAAAAACAACACATGGATATTTACAGAACATATCTAGTAATTTGGTCTTTAGAAATTTTATCTTTACATGAACTTTTGATGAATATACATTAGTTGAGTACGATGATTAAAGCAGTTTTTTTAGAAACTCCGAAAACGACTGCAAATGACAGTCCACAAATTCCTAATATTTAGGTATCTCTAAACACTACATCTGAAAATATCATCCATGCCATACAAATATCATACTGATTGAATTCCTCCACTCTGACATTTTTAAATAGCTTGTGGGTTTTCATCAAATCCCCATGTTATATTTAATTTGTTGCAACAAACCACTAAAAGACATTAACCGGCACACACTCTGAACAACAACGTACCATCTACTAATTAATCACTGATGCACAGTTCAATTGTCATGTAGAGAAATGACCCAGATTAAATCAGAGACGGTTCTTATAATTAGTGGAACTGTGTGTTTACGTTGCAGGTCTCCGACCGTGCTGCTGCACCAGCTAACAGATCAATAGGTGTCTGTGCCAATTAGTGTTCAGAGAAACAGGAGTCTCCATTATCACAGTTGCAGTTGTCACTGAGCTGTTGATTTAGACAGTGCATTCACCATATACGAAGATAAACCTATTGACAGAATATCCGCAGTGACCTGCAAAAGAGTTTGCACAACTCAACTACAAAACTTAAATGTATTTCAGCACTGTTTCATGTGACACAGAAACACGAGGTAGCGCATCGATTTTGAAGCTGAAGTAAAGGCATACAATATTTTTAATAATGTTCTATAATAGATTTTTGCATATTTACCGGCTACAAGTCCTTTAGGATGTGTGCTTTGGGAACCCAGATACTCTTGAAAATTTTCTTAAGTTAAGTCAGTGTGACTGAAAGTTCAGTTTATTTAGGGAGATATGAATGTGAAATCAAAGTCAAGGTCATTAAAGTGAACTCTGGTGCAATTTGAATGTATGTGTGAATGCCAAGCGGATGGTAGACCATCTCGAAAACAGGAAGGGGATTAACATCCAGTGCATTGTGGGTAAATTCAACCAAAGCAGCACTGGTGGGGGGAGAGCTGGTATTTTTTCTGCTGTGTATATTACATGCTGAATCAAAATAAGACCATAATGGTAAGCTCTACTGGGATTTTATAGTAAGTGAAAAAACGAACAGATTAATATAAGTTGGTTGCTGAGAGGAATCTTTCCAAAGCCCTCACAGACACTGATCATTGCTGAGAACAAGAAATAATTTTACTCAAAGTCACATGACAAAGTCACAGGAT